AATAAGTAGGTAATAGCCTACTTATAAGTCAAGTATTGGCACCTTATTGCATTCTCTTAATTAATTTTTTTTTTTTTAGCAAATTACTTTTTCCCAAGGAGACCATGCATGCATATACACAAATAAGGTAAATCCAAACCACAGATTATCAAACAAACAGATTATCCAAACAAGTTTGGATTTTAATAGTTCTATTGGAATTTTATCTTATTCTTATTATTGTTACTATTGATCTTGTTTGTGGTGTTTTAGATGTTATTGTTAATTTTGTTTATTTGATAAATTCAAACATTTAAATGTTCTATTTATTATTTTATATAACATTTTATTTAAATGTTATTCTATTTGCTCTATTTAATTTAAATTATAAATATGCTGTAGTTTGTACCTCTTAAACTCTGGTGTAATTGATATAAATTACAGATTCAACAATTGACTTGTTGAACTGCTGATAACGACGGAACTTGCGGCCATAGTTGGCTAACGATGCTTCCGGAAAACGCACCCCAGATGAGTAAATCGAGAGTCAGCGAGAAGCTCTTCTGATTGGCTACATGAAGGTGGACCCGCCCTCCTCTTCACGCTTGCAAAACTCTATAATGAGTGAGAGAATCGCACCAAAACTGTAAGCACAAATAAAAGACGCAACTGTACAAATCGGGTTATTTCGGGAACTTTTTGCCTCATACACAACAAGTCATTTAGACATTTGCAACAGTTTATTTTTTATGCATACTAGGGCTGGGCGATATATCGCACGATATTGTTATGCGCATCTCGTCAGTAAAGCCGGTTCCTTAATTTGTAGTAAATCACCTTCACCTGCTTTCAGATGGAGCGGCATTTACTACACAGCACAAACTCCAGTGTTAAATTAACACTCAAGAGTGTTAAAGTTAATGAGATAATTAAGTAATTAATTTAGTGATGTTTGAGCATTATTGAAGACACCTGATGTTAACAAGCAGAATCACTGAAGGAGAAAATCTCAAATTGTAAGCCACCGTTATGGCGATAAGTGTTTGCTTTAGTTGGGCTCTTAACCCTTATACATTCACTTTAATTGTTGTTTGTCTGCTGTTATTTATTTATAACAGTCAAATGAACAAAAAAAGTGTGATCTGATAGTGTCTGGCAACAACTTTTTGATTCTACTGCATATGAATATAGGTATGTTTCTTATAATCCAAAATATTTAATAAACATTGTTCTGATCAAAACACTTTCAAATAAATGTATTTAGAAACACAGACATCAATAATCAGCCTGTGAATCTCAACAATGGTGACAATAATAATGCATGTTGCAGTGGCTGCCACCAATCACAACTCATTAATGGCTCCCATCGTGCATTGCGATATGAATAAATTATGATCTGAATTTTCTATGTAATTTACTTTTCCTAATTGAATATTCTGCTCGTCACCATTGTTGAGATGCATTGACTGAATCTTGAAGTCTGTGAGTGCCTATAAGAAAGATTTTTTTATATATTTTTTAGAAACAACTTTTAAGAAATCCTTTTTATTATAGCTAAAATTCTGGATATTTATTCAGAATCACAGTTATGCTGTAACCAACAACATAAATTAAAATCATAAAGTTCAAATGATGATTGTCATAATATAACCAACACATCACTTTTTTTCTTTGTTCATCTGGCAGTTATAACTCAGAAACATCAGCCAAACAAAATCTAAAGTTAATAATATAAGGGTCAAGAGCCCAACTAAAGCAACCAATGATTGCCATAACGGTGGCTTACAATTTGAGTTTTTCTCCTTCAGTGATTCTGCTTGTTAACATCAGGTGTCTTCAATAATGCTCAATCATTACTCAATTAATCACTTAATTATCTCATTCAACACTCTTGAGTGTTGACTCATATCCCAGGAGTGTTAATTTAACTGGAGTTTTTGCTGTGTACAAAGAGCCGTAGTTAACTGACAAGCTGAGCCATATCGCATTCATTATCGCTGGCAAAACGTCCGCGATATTGATGCGATATGGCTCAGCTTGTCAGTTAACTACGGCTCTTTGTAGTAAATGCCACTCCATCTGAAAGCAGGTGAAGGCGATTTACTACTAATCAAGGAACCGGCTTTACTGACGAGATGCGCAGAACAATATCGTGCGATATATCGCCCAGCCCTAATGCATACAGATACGCATGTTGTTTTCGGTTGCAAATCACTGTTCACAGGCCTGCAATGACTGTGGCCGCATTTCGGCGAAATAAACGTGCCAAAAGTGTAAGCGTGGAAAAATGGAAGTCAGAAGAGTACAGATCATATTTATTTTATTTTTAGCGTACAGCTGCAGTTTCACAATACATGAATTACACTTACGAAAACCAGTCAAATGTTGCAGTTAAACGAACACTGAAGCAGTGCTAAAGTTAATCAGATGATTAATCACCTGAAGACACCTGATGTTAACAAGCAGAATCACTGAAGGAGAAAATCATAATTGTTACCATCATAGAGATCAGTGTTTGCTTTAGTTGGGCTCTTGAACCTTAAGTCGTTAATTTCAGATTATTGTTTGGCTGCTGTACCTGAGTTATAACAGCCAGATGAACAAAAAGAAAAGGTTATTTGATGGTGTTCGCTGTGTTTTAACATTAACATTGTTTCACAATCATTTGACCTGAATTTGATTTGACCTGAGTTAAATTTACTTTATTGATTATAGCAGCAGTGTTCTTGAAAATCATGATACTTGTAACTTTTACAACGTAATCCAAATAATTTCTTAACTTAATCACATACAGTTTTTTTAAAGACATCAAGAATCAGTCTGTGAATCTCAACAATGGTGACAATTATAAAGCATTTTGCAGTGTATTTTGGATGCCACCAATCAAATCTCATTCATGGCTCCCATCATGCATTGCTGAGTGAATAAATAATGAGCTTATGTTCAGAGGTCATCTTTTTGTCACCATTGTTGAGATTCATACGCCAATTCTTGATGTCTGTGTGCCTACCTGAGATATTTTTAAGTAGGTGTTTTTTTTATAATCGATTTGATCATTTGGATTTAATAGAAAAGGCATACTCTATAACAACAGTGCTGTTATATTCCATAAGATACTAAACTTAACTCTGAAATTATGCTCTCAATGAGTTCAGTGATTCAGGCCAACTACTGATTATGTTAAAACACAATCAATACCAACACATCACCTTTTCTCTTTGTTCATCTGGCTGTTATAACTCGGGTACAGCAGCCAAACAAAATATAAAGTTAACGACTTAAGGTTCAAGAGCCCAACTAAAGCAAACACTGATATCCATAAGGGTAGCATACCAATTACGATTTTCTCCTTCAGTGATTCTGATGTTAACATCAGGTGTCTTCGATAATGTTCAATTATCACTCAATTAATCACTTAATTATCTCATTAACTTTAGCGCTGCTTCAGTGTTCATTTAACAGTCTCTGAGCGTGGACTCATATAAACACTTGAGCAGTGTTAATTTAACGACAATTGTTAGATTCCAAATACCTCAGTGAATCAAGTTATTTCATGATGATTATAAAGCCCTCAACAGGTAACCATTATAACTTGATCTCACTTCATTTTAGCTTTCTTTGCTGCTGCAAATGTGTTTAATTAAACACACTGTCAGAACGGCCAAAAACCAATAGATACTTTAAGAGTTAAGAGCCCAACTAATGGAAACGCTAATCACTGTTATGGTGACTTCAAATGAAACGCATTAGAGTTAAACCTCTTTTAATTCTCAATAAAAACTTTTGTAGAAGTCTGACAGAAATAAAGTCAGTCTGGTTAGTAATAAGTGAAGCTGGTAATGCTGTTTGTGGAGTTGTTTAATCCTCCTCTGCTGAGATCTTCACAGATTTAATGTGTTCTTTTCTCTTCAGGTGATTTCATCTAAGACTGTGTCTGAAGTCAGCTATAGTTCTTGTTCTGCTCATCTCTTTTTCTATTCTCTTCTTTCCTTCAGTGATTCTGCTTGTTAACAGGCTTATTAAGGTTGAGATGACTCGATGTTTAATATACACCGATTTTGTGGCTCAGATAAAGTCCAGTTCTGGTTCATTTCCTTGCTCTTGGCTGACATGTGGCATTGCTATGCCCTGCTTGTGGCCCAGATCCGGCAAACAGGAGTGGGCCACCCAAGGGCCGTCATTCAATGCTGCATGTGGGCCAGATCCGCATGCCACAAGGTCCAGATGTGGGCCAGATCTGGGCCGAAGTAATGTTGCTATGTGGGTTTATGACATCATTTTACCTTCATAGTAGTTATCAAACGATCAAACTAGCTATATTTAGATTAATTTGGTCATATTATGCTGCTGTAATTATTTATCTGTAGTGGTTGATGAAGATGAGTGTCATTGGTGATTGTTTTTGTGTTATTGATTTTTTTTCCATGTCATAGTGTGAGAAATTACAGTATTGTCTTTCAATAGAGCAGTTTTACAGGCTTTTATCATCTATCCTGACTCAGATAATGTGTTTTTAACAGCAAACACTCAGAATAAAGTGAGATGATCTGCTGATGATCCTGAATGACTTGTTGAGTGAGTGTTGATAGTCTGAGGATCATCAATATTAACAGATCTGCTGAAAACACTCTTTATTTCATGACAATAGTTCCTGTTTTCACCTCATTTATTATGCTGATGTCTTCAGATCTCCTGTAAATTGTCACTTAAAGCTCATTTCATTGGTGTCAGCAGACTGAGAGGATTTGTTGGCTACTATATGTATGTTTATATCTGTTTGTGATTTTAACTGTTTTTCTTACCATTATTTATATATAATTATATTAAATATTAAATTATTTCTTTTCTTTTCTATATTTCTAGTTACCTGTATTTTTATGAAGAAGCAGAATAATGTTAGGATTAGCAATAAAAAAAATGAATCAGTTACTGTACAATGAAAAGATAGACAGACATAAATGCTTAGAAGTGTAATTTATTATAAAAACAAATTCAGTAATTTATATTTTTGATTTAGGCAGATCAGCTCCTCCCACTGCAATCACATCATCAGTGAAGCTCCTCCCACTGTAATCACATCATCAGTGAAGCTCCTCCCACAGTCATTCATCAATAAATGCTGTAAATTCCCATCAGCTTCAAGTGAAGACGAGCATCAGAGCATCAGGAAGAGCTGAAATCTGCCAAGACTGAGTTTATTAAAGAGGACAGTGAGAACATGAGTGATCCAGAACCCTGCAGAATGAAACACACTGAAGATCCTGAAGGACAAAGAGGTTGGTGTTTATTCTTCATTCATTCATGATGCTGGAGAACATTCATGTTAGAAACATTCAAGCACTTCATCACTTTTAGATAAACAGTTAAACTATGAAATGGACAGAATGTTCTGGGTTTTTCTTTAACAAATGGTCAGTAAAGGAAGATTTTAGACATTTTTATATTGATTGTCAACATCAGATCAAGCTAAATACTATTTTAACTGTTTTATTTTACATTTATTTTATATCTGGTTCACAATTTGCAACAACATAACCAGAATTCTAGTCATTTTCAACATTTTTAGGAATAATCAGTAAACACCAAGTTACTGATAAAGTTGTATTTGTCAAATATCATATAAGTTATTATAGAGATTCCTCTTACAGTGGTAACAGGGTTGACAGTCAATGCTACAGTTTGTGTAAAACTGAGACAATGGGTTGAGATTATTCTCTTGTCTTCCCATCATGCAGTATAAAGAGCCCAGATGATGTCACTTCCTGAGTGTCACAGTTTTAAGAAATGCTCTGCTTTTAAAAGGAGGAAAATCATGTCAGAAGTAACACAGGGTTGAGTGAAACATGTAGGACACAGTTAAAGCTAATACAAATAGTTAATTTAAAGCTAGTTAAAGCCACTCTACACTTTGAGCGTGTGAAGTTTCTACAGACGCTGCAACGGCTGTGAAATTACGTCACATTCTGCTGATGTTTTTTTAATAACATACATTTAACAAATAATAATAATTCAAAATTTAAAAATGAACAATCCACTCCACTTGAATGCTAAACGCTTGTGTTATTTCTCACAGGGTTATTCACTGGAGCTTGTGTTTCTGGTGTCCCACTTTCACATGCGTCAGTGCAAGGAAAAGTCTAGTGTTAACGGCCATTAATAATTAAAACGTTTTAGTCAAATAAATATCAATCTCAAAGTTGGTGTCGAAACATGGCAGTATTGTATATTGTAATGTTAAATTAACACCAGGTTACTTTTGCTCTCGGGGTGGGGTCCCCCTACAGTTGGGAAACAGTATTGTCCTCTAGACCTCTACTACTGTCGTAAACTACATGCACGTGCAATTGTTGACAACCATGATAGCCCTGAACACTGTAGGAGGAGGTCACATGCAGGTGTTCTGCTTGCGTCGCGTGTGAAATGTCTTCATTCCAGGTACAGTGGCATATATTTCAGCATGTCATATGAATATAATTTCATGGGTTTTATTTTTTTCTAACGACAAATGATCGCGATGATCACGTTTACAAGCCAGCGTCATTATAGTAGCCTAGTCTATTGGTTACCGTTTTACTGAATCTATCTATATGATACTTCAATGCAATGTTTGAGTGGTAGATAATAACCATATATATCGTCAATATTATAATATCAAGCTACCATAAATGAATCTGCAAATTTTACAAATCGATTTGCATTATAGCTTGAGGCAAGACAAATAAACAAATATCACAGACATATTAGGTATCCTAAAATATGATTTTGTACATCTTATATATTTACTTGCAAGAATGTAGCCCCTACCAAACTTGTACACGCGTTTAGACACAGGCTTTCGTTAGATTTTTTTTTTTTTTCAAGTCCGCATCGGTCGGGCACCCCTCCTCCTCCTTCAGCTCATGCCAGCGAGAAAATGCTGGCCCAATGTTGATCCTCGTTCTGCCTTTAACGCGATCACTTTCTCTTTTTGCTTTGCTCCGATAAAACCTTTGCTTTCTTGTTTTTCTGTGCTGCTTCGGCCATGACTATAACATTTGGCTCGCACGTCCGATTTTAAGGAAGTGGGGGTGGTGGTGGAAGTGACGTTTATGCCGTAAAGCAGTCGAATTTTGTAGTTCTCTTTGTTCGCCGGTTACTACCCAAAGTTTAAAAGTACGATTAAAAACGCTACAGACCCCGTCAGGCTATGGCAGACGTGTCATTCAACCTATTGTAAGTCGATGTACCATCACAAGAGACTTGTAAATATATTATGAAGGTTGAAAAGTTACCTGGTGTTACTTTAATACCTTGTTAGATAATTGTGTCATTGATCAAATATATTTAATAGTTCTTGCTAAAGAAACATGGGATTCGTGCCTATAATGTTTTAAAAATAATAATTTGAAGATAAATGAGAGTTTTTCTTTCATGTCAGACCCGATGGAAGACAGCGAGGAGAGTGAAGAACTGAGTGAAGTGGAGGAGGAGAGTGAAGAACTGAGTGAAGTGGAGGAGGAGAGTGAAGAACTGAGTGAAGTGAAGGAGGAGAGAGAAGAACTGAGTGAAGTGAAGGAGGAGAGAGAAGAACTGAGTGAAGTGAAGGAGGAGAGAGAAGAACTGAGTGAAGTGAAGGAGGAGAGAGAAGAACTGAGTGAAGTGAAGGAGGAGAGAGAAGAACTGAGTGAAGTGGAGGAGGAGAGAGAAGAACTGAGTGAAGTGAAGGAGGAGAGTGAAGTGGAGGAGGAGAGTGAAGAACTGAGTGAAGTGAAGGAGGAGAGTGAAGTGGAGGAGGAGAGTGAAGAACTGAGTGAAGTGGAGGAGGAACATCATGTCCAACCTGGAGAAAAACTTTTGAGTCGCTCAAAGACTAAAAATACATTTTTAAAGGAAAGAAGAGCCAAGAAATCTTTCACCTGCACTCAGTGTGGAAACAGTTTCACAAGCAAACAATGTCTTGAGATTCACATGAGGATCCACACTGGAGAGAAGCCGTTCACATGTGATCAATGCGGGAATAGTTACAGGCAATCTTCATCCCTTAAAGAACACATGATGATCCACACCGGAGAGAAGCCGTTCTCATGTGATCAGTGTGGCAGAACATTTGTTAGGTCATCACACCTGAAGACACACCTGAGAGTTCATACGAAGGAGAAGCCGTATTCATGTTCTGTGTGTGGAAAGAGTTTTTCACATCGGCACGCTTTACATACACATCAGAAAACTCACACTGGTGTAAAAGAGTACATGTGCTTTGAGTGTGAGAAGACTTTTACTACAGCAAACTGTTTAAAACTGCACCAGAGAATTCACACTGGAGAAAAACCTTACAAGTGTTCACACTGTGACAAGAGATTCAGTCGATTATCATATCTGAAAACACATAAGATGATCCACACTGGAGAAAAACCTTACAAGTGTTCACACTGTGACAAGAGATTCATTCGATCATTACATCTGAAAACACATGAGAGGATCCACACTGGAGAGAAACCTTACAAGTGTTCACACTGTGACAAGAGATTCAGTCGATCAGAAACTCTGAAAACACATGAGATGATCCACACTGGAGAAAAACCTTACAAGTGTTCACACTGTGACAAGAGATTCAGTCGATCATCATATCTGAAAACACATGAGAGGATCCACACTGGAGAAAAACCTTACAAGTGTTCACACTGTGACAAGAGATTCAGTCTGTCATCATCTCTGATAACACATGAGAGGATCCACACTGGAGAAAAACCTTACAAGTGTTCACACTGTGACAAGAGATTCAGTGATTTATCAACTCTGAAAAAACATGAGAGGATCCACAGCAGAGAGAAGCCGCACACGTGTGATCAGTGCGGGAAGAGTTTCTCTATTAAAACTCACCTGAAGCTACACATGAAGATCCACACAGTGGAGAAACCACTTAAACACAGTCTGAGATCACGGTAAGTAGTTTATTTGCATGTGCTGAGCAACAAAGTCTCTTCTGTGTAAGTTAGCCACACATCACCCTATAGCCACATCTCTCCTCTCCACCTATAGCCGGTGTGTGGTGAGCACAGGACACTTTGTAATACAACATCAGAACGTCCAGAAATGGTGCAGTTGACACTGTGAGAAGGTGTACTCTCCAGCTGATGTGAAATTGGGCTGTGGAAACTAGGATTTTTTTAAAAATGATTTTATGAATGTATAGCCAAAACAGCGTATTTTTGAACTTTGGAGGGCTCTTACTTTGGGATAGATAGATAGATAGATAGATAGATAGATAGATAGATAGATAGATAGATAGATAGATAGATAGATAGATAGATAGATAGATAGAGCAAAAAAGATATAGATAGATAGATAGATAGATAGATAGATAGAGCAAAAAAGATATAGATAGATAGATAGATAGATAGATAGATAGATAGATAGATAGATAGATAGATAGATAGATAGATAGATAGATAGATACAAACTGAATAATTGAATGTGAAATCACCTTCGGAAGTCAAGTCAAGTCATCTTCATTTATATAGCGCTTTTAACAATGGATTGTTTCAAAGCAGCTTTACAGAGATAAACATATCATTTAAGGTAACAGATTGTTTTGGCGTTATAGCGGTTCTTGAATAATGTTCCTTCCAGCTAAAGTTAACTTTGATTGATTCACCTCCGTCGAAATGATCAGACTTTAAACGAAGATCAATTGTTTTCAATTCAGATGACGGTCTGATGGTCTTACCGTAATAGCTAGTGTATGCGCGAATCACAAAATATAGTGGCGGCTAGATTGACAGTGCATTTCGGGGTGGCGGCTGGCTTGACCGCAGTGACTTTACAAAAGTGATGGATTTCAGGTGTCGCGTGATATCTCTGGACCCAAGTAGCAGTGCTTCACCTGTGCTTGACCCTAATATAGTCCCAAAGCAATCTCTGCCTAGTAAATCGCCTAGTCTTAACCCTCTGGGGACCAGCGTGTTTTTGGGGCCTTTGAGATGTTTTGACATGCACTGACATTTGTGCTTTTTTCAGTTATTTATAAACATGTTAATGGCAAAGGTGTAAATTCACTCTATATAGCACAAACGGGGCTACCATGATATGTGAGCAACATGTATGTACATGTTTGTATTTTTAAGAGAATAATGTTTATGCGTGGTTATTGAAAAAAATTAAAATGAAAGTTGCTGAAATAAGACCACAAAGCACATACTAAATATGTGTCCACAAGACTTTTGACTAATGGATGTTGTCGCTTCGGCAAGTGGAAAATAGTCCACTGTTGTCGCTGTTGTCGCTTGTGGATGGCAAGTGGAAAATAGTCCACCCAGTATAATATGTAAACTACATGTTTATATTGAATAGCTTGTCAACTAATGGTTGACAAGCTGAAGAGCTTCTACACCGGTGTATCGTGCCATCTTCCTGACGCGCAGGTGAACTGGATGATGAAACTTGAAGCCTTTAATGCATTTGCTTGGGGGCGTTTACCTGTTTTCCATAGATGGAAGAAAAATAGAAACTGAACAGGATCGATTGATGTATAACACGAACATGAAAGATCAAAATTAACAGAGCAGTTTGAGTTAATTTTGCATTGCTAAAAAAAAAAAAGAGCAAAACTCGCGGGCGCGTTTCTGGTCCCCAGAGGGTTAATCTGCATTGCTATTTGTTCTCGTTGTGAATACGCAAGCCACAAGATGTAGTTAGTTGTTTTTGTTTTTTTTATCACTTTTACTCACGACATGCTAGCTGGCAACAAAGGATTCCATTCATTGTGCTAAGCTAAGCTAGCGGCAGCGCTGCCAAACTAAAACAATGCGTGCATTGAGACAAAAATGGGTTTGCCCACCTATCTAAATGTAGGGGACATGGTGAATAAGCCCCATTTTAAAAAAAACGGTGGAGTGTTCTTTAAAATAGACTCGAAAATTATATTGGCATTAGTCGAATTGCACTAGCATGGTTTAAATCATACTCATCTGACCGTTATCAGTTTGTTGCAGTAAATGAAGAGATGTCTTATAGATCACAAGTTCAGTATGGCGTACCACAAGGCTCAGTACTAGGACCGTTGCTGTTCACTCTGTACATGCTACCATTAGGAGATATCATTAGGAAGAATGGCATTAGTTTTCACTGTTATGCTGATGATACTCAGCTCTATATTTCTTCGACGAAACTTACCAATTCACAAAATTAAAGGAATGCATTGTTGATATAAAAAACTGGATGACTAGTAATTTCCTACTACTTAATTCTGAAAAAACAGAGATTCTAATTATTGGACAAAAAACGTCCTCACCTAATAACCTAGAATACTGTCTAACACTTGATGGCAGCTCTGTCAAGTCCTCGTCGTCGGTTAGGAACCTGGGTGTGCTTTTTGATGCCAACCTTTCTTTTGAAAGTCACGTGTCTAGTATCTGTAAAACTGCATTTTTTCATCTTAAAAATATATCTAAAATACGCCCTATGCTCTCAATGACAAATGCAGAACAATTAGTTTATGCGTTTATGACCTCAAGGCTAGATTATTGTAATGCTCTACTGGGTGGTTGCCCTGCACGCTTAATAAACAAACTACAGCTAGTTCAAAACGCAGCAGCTCGAGTTCTTACCAGAACCAGGAAGTATGACCATATTAGCCCGATTCTGTCAACACTGCATTGGCTGCCTATTAAACATCGTATACATTTTAAAATATTGCTGATTACTTACAAAGCACTAAATGGTTTAGCTCCGCAGTATTTGAGCGAGCTCTTGACGCATTATAGTCCTTCACGTCAATTGCGATCTCAAACTTCTGGCCAGTTGATAATACCTAGATCTGATGAAGGACCTGCGTCTGGACATGACGACAATGCAGTCCTGAAGTGTCAACTAGTCTCTCCCTTGTGAAGGCCTCCTTCCCTCTACCTCTGTACAGATGAAACGTTGTCGGGTTAATTCCGGTTCACGTGGCTACGCGGAAGCGATAACAATTCTCAGAGCCACCAGTTACTGTTTTATGCAAATGAGCGGCCGGATCGCATTAAAGGTTTTCTGTTAAAACAGTGTCGTGTTAGCGGCCCCTAAGTTAATAACTAATGATCGTTGCGACGGAAGTGAATCAATCAAAACTAACTTTAGCTGGACAATAATTGTATTCTAGAGCTGCTGTAAAGCCAAAACAATCTCTGTTACTTTAGTTTCCTATTATCACTGTAAAACTGCTTTGAAACAGTCCATATTGTTAAAAGCACTAAATGAAGGTGACTTGACTTGACTAATATTAATACCCATCGTTTGTTGAACTGTTGTATAAAATCAATGTCACATTTGAAATCGTGTGGATATCATGTGATCAACATTAAACACAGGAACTCACACAGGGCATGTTTTTGTGTTGAAGAGAGTTTGAATTTTAAATCGTGATCCGTCTCTGTCTACACTCACCTAAAGGATTATTAGGAACACCTGTTCAATTTCTCATTAATGCAATTATCTAATCAACCAATCACATGGCAGTTGCTTCAATGCATTTAGAGGTGTGGTCCTGGTCAAGACAATCTCCTGAACTCCAAACTGAATGTCAGAATAGGAAAGAAAGGTGATTTAAGCAATTTTGAGCGTGGCATGGTTGTTGGTGCCAGACGGGCCGGTCTGAGTATTTCACAATCTGCTCAGTTACTGGGATTTTCACGCACAACCATTTCTAGGGTTTACAAAGAATGGTGTGAAAAGGGAAAAACATCCAGTATACGGCAGTCCAGTGGGCGAAAATGCCTTGTTGATGCTAGAGGTCAGAGGAGAATGGGCCGTCTGATTCAAGCTAATAGAAGAGCAACTTTGACTGAAATAACCTCTCGTTACAACCGAGGTATGCAGCAAAGCATTTGTGAAGCCACAACACGCACAACCTTGAGGCGGATGGGCTACAACAGCAGAAGACCCCACCGGGTACCACTCATCTCCACTACAAATAGGAAAAAGAGGCTACAATTTGCAAGAACTCACCAAAATTGGACAGTTGAAGACTGGAAAAATGTTGCCTGGTCTGATGTGTCTTGATTTCTGTTGAGACATTCAGATGGTAGAGTCAGAATTTGGCATAAACGGATTGAGAACATGGATCCATCATGCCTTGTTACCACTGGGCAGGCTGGTGGTGGTGGTGTAATGGTGTGGGGGATGTTTTTTCGGCACACTTTAGGCCCCTTAGTGCCAATTGAGCATCGTTTAAATGCCACGTCCTACCAGAGCATTGTTTCTGACCATGTCCATCCCTTTATGGCCACCATGTACCCATCCTCTGATGGCTACTTCCAGCGGGATAATGCACCATGTCACAAAGCTCGATTCATTTCAAATTGGTTTCTTGAACATGACAATGAGTTCACTGTACTAAAATGGCCCCCACAGTCACCAGATCTCAACCCAATAGAGCATCTTTGGGATGTGGTGGAACGGGAGCTTCGTGCCCTGGATGTGCATCCCACAAATCTCCATCAACTGCAAGATGCTATCCTATCAATATGGGCCAACATTTCTAAAGAATGCTTTCAGCACCTTGTTGAATCAATGCAACGTAGAATTAAGGCAGTTCTGAAGGCAAAAGGGGGTCAAACACAGTATTAGTATGGTGTTCCTAATAATCCTTTAGGTGAGTGTATATTTTCCCTTTCAGTCTCGACTGATTGGAAAAGCTCATCTGGAAACACTATACTGAAGAGAGAAAAGAAAAGAAGCGTAAAGTTAAGAAGAAACACCTGGACTTTATGATAATGAACTCAGTAAAGTGGAGATTGCAGCTGAAATAGTCAAGTTTATTATATTCTTGTCTCCTGGACAACACACTTAAAGTGCATTGAAAAAAAACATGAAGAAACTCAAAAAAAGTGTTTGTCTTTAAAACCTGTCTTCAAACGCGGATACATATGGACCAAATACGTGATGCGCATGTGCACGCCATCTGCGTTTCAGCGGGTTTGCGTTTTTGAGGTTTGCGCAGAGATATCCTTTTTTTTTTTTTTTACCTGTTTCAGGATTTGCGTTCTCAAGCACCAGGCACTGTTGTTGTGCGTATTACTTCATGT